TTAGTGTAAGTGGTTATGTATAGTAGAAAATAAAAAAGAACAGGTGAAAAATAGTCAGAAAGTGCAGTCAACAAAATTATATTTTATGGAATGTCGGCAAACTTAATAAACATAATTTATTTACTGCTCATCCTGACCGTTTTTCATCTTTATAATTTCAACAGCTGGAGGTCTGAGCTATTCAGGACCAAATTTTCAGGTCATTAAAATAAATTGTAAGTTGGTGAATCTAATTGAAGTGTTGAAAAAACATATACAATTGATGTTGGATTTTTCTATCAATAATTTCAGTTTTCATTGAATTGTTATACAATTTTTGTTTATGTTAATTTAAATGATTTTTTATTTTTCAGAGTATGGAAACACGTGTCGATTGAGCAAATAAACATTTATTTCGCTCATCGGCAACCATTTAAAATTGTAGGTAATTTGGGAATTTTTGGATTTTCTGAGTCTTGTGATTTTCTGAATTTTCCTAGTTCTGTGTTTTTGTTTCACTGCAATTGTTTCGACTTTTCGCAATCGTTTGAAAATTTTCATTGAGATTTTCAAATCAGCAATGAACATACGATAGCTGCCACCATTGACTCAAGGCTCTTTGGAATTAATATTTATCGACATTTTGTCAAATTGTTTTGCTATTGCATTAATAAATACCCAAATAGATTGAGCTCACAACTATCTGTGAACTTGGTTCAGCTCATTCATTAATTTTGGGAAATCTTGAGGGAGCTCTGAACGACAGTCGATCCTTTCCTGGTAAGATTTAACCAATTAAAGTTCCGGCGGTCTAATGATGCCCGAGAGGTTGAAGGCAGTTCGCGATCAACTTCTCAGTTTTTAATGATCAGGTATAGAGGCCAGAAGATCAAGGTTCATATTGTGTAAGAGATAAGGTTTCAATAATAACTAATAATAATTTAGATAAAATTGTCGGAAGTCATAACGAATTTTAGAATCGACAAATAAAATTTGTTGCTTATAACTAAGCAGTAAGTTAGTTATTTGTAAGTATAATTAAGATTGTTGTGATAAACAGCAAAACGAAATATATATATGTATATATTATATTTGTTGTATATTATATTACGAAGTATGCATTACAAATATAAACGTTGTTGTATGGTGCCTGTTAAATAGTTATGTATTAGTTGGGTGAGCTTTCCTAATTCCATACTACATAAGTATGAATGTGTTTTTATGAATTTTATATTTGTATTTAATCTTGTTTCAAATTTCATTTTATTTGTTTTCATTAAAGTTTTTTTCTTTCCTTTTGTCGTTATTTTAATTTAATTTTATAATTGTATGCATGGTATAAATAAGTCTCCCATAGCTCTAATAATTAAAAAAATCCTACTGCAGCTACTGTACTGCAGTCTAGTTTAGGTCTCACAGAGTGTTCGCAGTGAGTTCTGTGCTTTTGAAGACTGATGAATTTATGCTAGATTTATGCAACCTCCCTCACATCTGGGACATTTGGAGCTGAGCAGCAGACTGTTAAAAATAATTTTACGTTGTATATGTATGTATAAATACAAAGGCAAATGCTGTGCGTAGTCTTAATTGCAATTTTAGCCCTATGCCCCAGCGCCTGGTAGTTCACAACCATTAATACTATCAAAGAATTAAATTAACCGAGAAAACTTTGATACGATTAAAGTTATAAAATTACTTTTAATTGCAATAATCAATGAAAAGAAGAGATAATATATGTTTTTGGTTTATTATTTTCAATAATGGACCATTGTAATCGAACAACAAATTTAAAAACTTAACCCCCTCTCAAAATTTGAGGTTTTACGTTTCTGGATACGTAGAATACGAAAAATAATAAGTAGAATAAAAGAACTGGATAAGTAGAATAAAAAATGTTTTGTCCATCCGCCGTCCATCGTCCTCACATTTTCTCCGAAACTACTGGACCGATTTTTTCAAATTTGGATTTAAAATCAGTGGTCGCCCGAGGTTGATCTTCCTTCATCGACATGTACTATCTCATCATCGATATTGTATTATTTTTGTTTACGAAATTTCCTAAAAAAAAAAAAAAAAAAAATTAAAATCGGACAATTAGGAGCAAAGATTTGGTCTCTAGATGTTTTTTTATGTTCTACTGCAAATCCTTTGTTTTGGATTTTGATTTTTTAATGTGTTACTGAAGTAATGATATTTTTTTTCAGCAAATTACTAATGACAAAAATGTTTAGACAAAAAATTAGATTTAACTTTTTATTTCTTTTATTTTCAACACTCTATTTGTTAATTTGTTAAGTTTTCTTAATATATTGTAGTTACTGGTATTCGTTACTGCTAATATTTTATTTTATTCACATCTCATTTATTTAAAAGTAATTAAGCTGTTGAGTTTTACCTGTAAGGCGATCGGTTTTGGTAAGTTTATTTTTTAAACTCTCACTGACGTCAAAAATGTGGTTTGATAACGACTTCAAGGGTACAAAAAATGTAAAGAAAAAATTACGTAGGAATACGTTAATTGATTTCGAAACAGTATTAAACTCTCCAAATTTCTAAATATCATTCGAAAAATATTTATTGCCTAACAAAATTTTGTTGCACCAGTGTAACCTTTCTGCATACAACAGTGTGTAGCACCGTTTTGCTTTTATGTTTAATCCTCACCTGTTATATTTTCTTCTAAATTGAAGCTCTTATGAAGGCACTAAAATAATGATGATTACTCAAGCTAACATCATCATTTCATCTTTTCACAGGCGAATTTCTTTTAGTTTTTAACTTTGAGTTAGGTTAACGAGATATTGGTGAACACTTGTTCGGCACTATACTAAATATGATTCCTATCGCTTCCTTTTATATTGATTTTTAGATGTATTCACTCTAGTACAAATTTATGTTTCCTTAGCTTTTGAAGAAACATACGAACAGGCATGAGAAAGCCGTTAAAGATTTCAGTAGTCCACAAATTGTTTTGCAAAAGAACCAAGAAAGAGTTTACTTTGGGGCGACCCTCACAAATATTCATGCCCGTATTTTAGTACACCGAGAAATGGAGTTTAGTTTTCTTCTCTTTGACGTTCAGTAAATATCATCATTTTAAATTTAAAAACAAATTAAAAAATATTATGTTCTGTTATTTTCAAAAATGTACCTTCGAGATCACCTAAAGAATTGGATGCTTTCGCTCGATCGTATAGAGAGAGAAACCATGTGCACTAGGATAAACTTTTTCAAATATCCTTCAATTTATATCAAGTTCCGAGATATGCTTTCATCTTGTTGGAATATTATTGGTCGTCATCCCTAACGTGAAAGTACTCTACTAACCAGAGAAGCCAAGTGCAGAGAATGATATTCTCGGTGCGTGACAAACAATAGATCGGGGTGGGAATTGCCGAGCTTCCTTCCATGAGGGGAGGGGAGGTTGGTTTTATAGGTGCCATTTTTTGCTAAGGTATATTTTTACAACGAATATTTTTTGTAGAATAAGCCATAAAGAAATCGTATGTTCGGTTTGCTTGCTATCGTGACTTTATTTCATCAAATTAATGAGCTTCTTATATTGAGTTTTAAGACTTTTTATATGGTTGAAACTATTTTTAATTGAGTTGAAACTATTCTAATGAGATTTCTGCAGTATTTATTGGTTTAAATATTTATACTTCGTATATGTATTTATTTGAGTATTTATATTAACGGCAGTCAAAAATAAGTGAGGAGCCAAGAAGCTGAACACTTTTAAGGACAAGAACTCTTGGAATTTATGGAACTCTTTAAATACAGTAATAATTTTTTGGGATATCTCAGACTGGTCTATAGTAACTCCGAAGTCTTTGGCTCCATTATGGTGTGAAATGCGATTGTTATTGAGGAAAGGTAAAGAATAATAAGGAAGAAAATTAAAAAGAACTTAGGAACGAATGAGAATATCTTAAGTATAAATTGATTAAATTTTATCTAAATTCATCTGCAACTAACTTGTTTATCTTGCAACACTCGCAAATTCAATTTATAACTTTCTGTACTTTATGTGATACCTCAATTAGATCAGTGTTATGGAAGTAAAAAATATATTTTGATCATGAGCATAAAGATGGTATAGGGGGTGATAGATAGAATGTGCTAAATCATTCATGTAAATGGAAAAGGGATTGTGGAAGAGAGGAGCTCTGAGAAACGCCGAGCGAGAGAAAAAGATGAAATGAAGGAAGGTTGTCAGGGATATACACAGTATGTGAACGATTCAATAACAAGGAATAGGACCGTTTTTACAGTTTTATTGAAGTTAATGGAGTTTAGATCTAGGAGTCTCACGATCAAAAGAACCAACAAAATGGTTTTAAAAAATCCAATCTATTCCAAGGAAGGCGAATTGACTGAAATAGACAGAACGAAAACATGATTAAAAGATGTTGGGGAGATCATTTTGTTCTATGGTATGAAGTAAATTTACAATGGACTAATCCTTCTAAAGGTTTGAGTAAATTTTCTGTAACAGAAATGTCTCTGAAGTTTGAAGCAGTAGGAATTTAGTTTAGATAACGTATTACATTTAGTGGAAAAGATAGTATTTTGGAAATCAAGAAGTCTAGATTAAAAAAATAATGGGCCTTTTCAAGTTATACCGAAGTCATGTTGGCCAAACGGACCAATATTTTTTTAATCACTTTTTTTCCTGACTTTATGGTCAAATTATCTTAAGATTAAAATGGAAAGAAAATAATTATTCATTAGTATTCAGTAACACATTCAAATTAATTATTTATTAATTTAATCAGAAAATACTCCATTATTGAGAATTTTTGTAGATAAAACAGTTGTATTTGTTAACGATTTGATAAAAAGGGGACTATACCGCGCACTAAAAATATAGTTTTACATTTATGAATAATAAAAGCTTATTTAATCTGTTTGATCCATCTTGTGTTGTTCCGATTGATCAATAGTTATCGTGATGCTTCCATACAGTATCAGAAATCTAATAAAGTGACCTCCACTGTGAGTATAGTGCAGTCTTAGCTATGAAGAGCCAACTGATTTTGATAATACTTGTAAGAGTTGGTCGTGCTGCTCTGGATACCATCCACTCAAATAGAGAAGATCTCCTCGATGCCGTGGAGTCTATAGCAGAAAGAAATTTCCACGGGAGCTGTCTGTCCTTCAGATATCCTGAGAGACACCCTCCTGACCTTGTCTTCTCGCATCTACTGCTCAGGATGCACAAAAATTGGACACCGATTTTACCAATATTCGTCGCCACTAGAGCATTTATTAACAATGAAGGCTATGTAATAAACTTTATTAAATGTTCTTATGTTATTACGATTCGCAATGCTAACTATACATCGCAACTAGCGGAAATATTATACCGTCCTTGGAACAACCTCTACCGTGTGGGTGACAGCCCTTATACTAGATTCATAATTATTGTAGATGGAGAAATCTCAAAGGAAGAGACATACGAAGCTCTTAAAATGATGTACCGATTTGGTGATGTCGATGTTGTACTTGTAGGTCGTGAGAATAATGTTACAAGTATTTTCACGTTATTTCCTTTTGGAAAAGATGGAAAAAGCTGTCCGGAAGATAACATGGAATTATCACGAATAGCTCAGTGGGAAGGGAAATTCACAGAAGTCGACTTCTTTCCTGATAAAGTTCCACATTTATTTCAAGGTTGTGATTTTCCTGTTTCAACGGTCCACTACCCACCAGCAATATTTTCTCTAAGTGACGATAACTATGATGGCTTCGACTACAGATTGCTTGGAATTATAACAGAGAAGATCAACGCTAGCCTCAGAATTACATTTTACAACAGAATTGACGGATGGCTTTGGGTGGACAAAAAATACAACATTCGAGGATCTTTAAACGACCTGAGAGAGGGGTTTTCTTGGGCGATAGTTGCCAGTCTGTCAAATAATCAATTGCACTACACTGCTTGTAACATAGAAACTCCATATGTGTATGCTAAGCTTATGTGGTATTTTCCGAATCCTTTGCCTATTGAAAAATGGAAATTTATTTATTTAGCTTTTTCTAGGGAACTATGGATCTCGGGAGTTATTACTGCTGTGTTGACACCATTTTTCTTTTTCTTATTCGCTAAAGTGACAAGGAAAGAGTATTATTTCATGGAATTTGAAAAATCTTGCTTTACTCTTTGGAGCATTATTTTTGGAAATTCGACGGGTTTTTTGCCTAAAACAGTCCACTTTCGGTTTATTTTTTCGTTGTGGTTATTCTTTACAATACACCTCAACCTCGCTTATACAGCTTCTTTAACTGGTCTGATAACAGGAGGGAAACTGGAGTCAAAAGTAAGTACTTTAGATGACATTGCTGAGAGAAACTTAACTACGGCAACTTTCATGTACTTGGTCGGAGTATTAGCCTCAATAGACGAACCTGAAGTAAGAAAAGCAGTTTCTAGATACATTATAGTAAATGACTACGACAAAATATTTGCGACGATGGTAACACATAGGAACTTATCTATTGTAGATAATAATGTTTACATTGATCATCTCATTGTCCGGAAAAAGCTGCAAATATATCAAACACCGGTGACTTTGCTTCATGTTCCGACTGGTATAATGATGAGGAGAAATCATTTCATGTTTGAGAGGATAGATAAAATCGTTCAACGCCTGATCTCTGCAGGGATTAGCTATAAGCTTGTGGAAGATTTTACAATACCTCTTTGGAAAAAACGTGAAAAAAAAAATTGGAAAGCCGTAGACATCAACGGTTTAGCTGGACCTTTCATTCTCTATGCATGCGGAGTTTTGCTTTCATTCATAGCATTTATTTTTGAAATTATTTACTTCTATAGAAACAAATTTGTTAATATCGTAAAATGAAGATTGATGATAAAAATAAAGTAGAAAACACTAATTATAACTAATGGTTGATTAAATCTAGAAGTTAGAATTATTTCGCATTCCTACCACTCTATCTTAAGTTTTCCTCCATAAAGTGAATGTTTTGTAATTATACTTTAGTTACGTTGTTGGAGGCATTGGTTGAAGGTTTGATTTAAAGTGAAATAAACAAACAAATAGTTTTGCATTAAATAATAAAGAAATTATTTTGTTTTTGCAAAATTACAAATATCCAACGATTCACCATTTCATTAGGAAAACATTTTTTTTTTTTTTTTTTTTGTATTTCACATTGTCTGCAATCTACAACCAACGTCTACTAGATGATTTACTTTCAGCTATTTCTTCATCAATAATTGCTTTTGATTAGAAGCATAATGATAGATTAATATAATAAAATAAAATATGAAAACGATTGATTTAGAATAAAAAAAAATATTTTGTTATGCTTTTTGTTTGTTTTGACCTTAATTCAGTCATAAAATGAGTTAATATTATAAGAAGATTATATCCATTTCGAAATACATTTCCTAAAAACATTTTTTATAAATAGTTGACTCTTATTTGATGCGGCGGGAGATGAAATAAAGAGTAGCAAAAATAATATTTTACTTCCTGGTAAAAATCCTGAGAATTAATTAATTAAATCTCCAAGAGTCTTGCTAGACAATATACTACAAGTAATTGATCCTGTGATAGAAAAGCCTGATTTATTCATTCATAAAACTTGCTTTTGAACAATCATTAAGACTGGAAATCTAAATTATTAATGGAAGTCAATTGAGAAAGACCACTGCAATTGAAAAAACTTCATCTTCAAATATATCGTAGGAGTTGGGGAACTGATAGGCCCAGGTAATATAATATTTTCTTCTAAGATCTCCAATAACCGAATCGTTTTATTTCTGTCAAACGAACAGAATGTATTAGACTTCCTTCATGTACACAAGGGTATTACAGTCGATGGTAATTTCATTCCAGCGCGCCCCCTTATTGTACATTGAAAAAGAATTGTCATATCTAGAATTGTTATAGCAGTACTGCTACTTTTCTTAATACCGGCTCAATTACCTTCTTCGGCTCAGGAAGTAATAGTCTCTCTGCCATTGACTTAAGCATCGCGGACGTCAGGTTGGACCCCAAATGCATCTGGAGAACTAAAACCCACTTATATGGAAGCGACCATTTCTCCATCGTTATACAGATTAAAGGGCCGTCTCTTCCACAGAATATAAAGCGACACTGGAAGTATGAGGCAGCTGATTGGGAATCTTTTCAGAAATCAATTATATTGGACAAGGCTAATCTAGAAAGAACAGCTAATAATATAGATCTTCAGGTAGCAAATTTGAATAATATTATTCTGCAAGCAGCCTACGACAACATTCCGATCACAAGTAATGGTCGCCTTAAGAAAAGGGTCCCATGGTGGAACGAAAGATGTCAGGAAGCAGTGAAAGCAAAAAATCAGGCTTTCAACAGGTACAAAAGAAGTAGGAGTTTGAATGACGCAGTTGAATTTAAGAGACTTCGAGCAATCGCAAATAGAACTATTAAAGATAGTAAGAAGTCATCGTGGAGAGAATTCGTTTCCTCTATTAACTGTGAAACATCAGTCACAGAAGTATGGAACAAAATTAGATCTATTCGTGGAATTAACAAAAAAAAACATAATATCAGGGATAGATGTAGCAGGGAATATAATAACAAATCCAACAGAGATAGCAGAGACATTGGCACAACAATTTTGTAAACCATCGATTAGTTACCTTAATAATAAGGAACCAGCGGACATTGCAAACCAAGAAGTAATGCCAAGGCTACAAGTGCCAAGTTCTAATGTTTGCCATGGTGAACCTTTCACGTTGAAAGAAATGGAAATGGTAATTAAAAATGTCGTGGAAAATAAGCAACAGATATAGACGAAATTTCTAACGAAATGATAAAACACATACCAGATGAAGATAGATTATACTTACTTCAAATATACAACGAGATCTGGGATCCTGGTGAACTCCATAAGCTATGGAAAACCTCAATTATCACTCCGGTCCCAAAAAAAGATATTCCAACCCATCCAAATGACTTTTGTCCTATTTCATTACTATCGTGCCTCTCTAAATTACAGGAAAAAATGGTAAACAATAGACTTGTTGATTGATGGAACGAAACAAACTATTAACCCCCAATCAATTTGGTTTCAGAGAAGGACATTCAACAACTGATGCACTTCTGTTACTGCAACATGAAGCAGTAAAAGCATTCTCACAAAAAGAACATTTGGTTGCTGTCTTTTTAGACTTGAAAAAGGCTTATGATACCATGTTATGTCCCACATATAAAAAGAAACTCTAGTTTCGGATGAAAAAAAATCTTATTTTTTAGAATTATTAAACAAATACTGCAATTACAAAATATTGTACACAGATGCATCAAAAGCCGAAAACCAAGTGGGATTTTCAGTCGTTACAGACAGTGAAGAATTCCTGTACAAATTTTCAGGAGAATGTTCTATTTTTACGGGAGAAGCCACGGCCATAAAAGAAGCACTCTTGCACATCCGCACCAACCACTTCAAAAACCATGCTATCGTAACCGATTCAATGTCCGTAATAGAAGCCATAGAACAATCAACGAACCAGCATCCTATTATAACAGAAACTTTTAACATATATGGTGAACTAAAGGAAGAAAATAAAAACATAGCCCTTATCTGGGCACCATCACATTGTGGTATCCTGGGTAACAAGAGAGCCGATGCTGTAGCCAACTCTGTTCGGCATCAAGAAACTGCACAAGCCACAATAATTGATGCTATTCCTCGAGAAGATTGGACACACCAACTTGCCATCTCCTTTCAAAATAAATGGAATATTGAATGGGAAATGAGTTTGGCAAAACTTCAGGAAATAAAAACAAAATTTATCAAATGGAACACATCAAACAGAAAGTTTAGACGAGAAGAAGTGATACTATGTCTCCTAAGAATTGTCCACTGTGAGTTTTCCCATGGATACCTCCTGCGAGGATTAGAAACTCCAACTAGCACATATTGCCTAGTACCCAGAACAGTAAAACATATATTATTAGAATGTAGAAGGTACACTAATATAAGGAAAACATTTCAAATGGGAATGGAAATGAAAGAAATTCTGCAAGATAGGGAGAATGAAATAGAAAAACTGTTCAAATATTTAAAGAATATTCACTTTTATCAACGAATATAAAATGGAAACCAATGACCCTTAGGGGTACAGGCTAAATAAACAAATAAAAAAAAAATTGAGAATTTCAAATTAACTTCCAGAAAAAAGGAACTATCGCATTGAATAATTGGTGTTTTATTTTTTCATTGCCAACTTTGTTAAGAAGAACGAGTAATAGCAGAGGAATGGAATTTTCACGAATTTCCTTGATAGATGCACGTAGTTAATCGCTGCCTGAAATTAGTAACTGAGGCATTGAGAAAAGTAGTAAGTGATAACTAAATTAACCTTCTTTCTAGGTCATTCGTTCCATTTTCATTTAGTAAATTATTTTCAAATTACATTAAGATCCAAAAAGACAAGAAAACTGCATATTTATAAACTAACTTACTAACTTAAAAATATTTTTAGTTTTTTAATTTTTTTTTGTTATTTTAAATTTGCCACTGCGTTGGAACCCATCAAGCAAATGTGTTGGCGTTAATTATATCTTCTTGAATTCCTGATATTTTCTTAACTTTTCAGCAGATCTCTAGGCCACTGCCTTTTTAGTCGTCTTTGAGGCTCACCAGGTAACAGGGATGAAGATAGAGATAGAACGAGTGGATTTGGATGATTGAGAGTAGAAGAGTGAAATGTTGTGTACTTGTTGTGTATGTATTATTTTACTGTTGGTATGTTCATGTCTGTGTGTATGGTGTGATTTGAAATAAACCAAGGAGCATTGACGATTTTACGGAGTATTTTGGATTGTGTGGTTTGAATTTTGCGGAATCCCAAAGTTCTGCTCCGTATGTCCAAATAGGTCTTAGTATAGTGGTGTAGATTAGTCGCTTGTTTAGTAAGTTGAGTGGAGATCTGTAGTCTAAACGATGTGACAGTTGTTTGTATCGTCTGGTCAGTTCTTGTTTTTTTAATTTAGTGCGAATGTTCCAGGTGAGTTTTTTGTCCAAGTATAGTCCGAGATACTGTACATGTGTTTTTGAGGGAACCGGTTTATTGTCTACTGTCACAGCAGGACACGAGATCTTCCTCAGGGAGAAGCTAACATGAGTTGACTTGCTGGGATTGATGTTAATTCTCCATTTGTGAAACCATTTTTCAAGATCGTGCAGGTGATTTTGAAGCGCTATTGAAGCGATAGTGGGATTTTTGTGAGAAGAAAGTATTGACGTATCGTCAGCAAAGCTATAGAGCAATGGTTCTAGGGTGCTCAGGGATATCAGATGTGTAGATAGAAAATAGAAGAGGGCTTAAAACACTACCATGTGGTACGCCCTCAAATTGAAGAAAGAAGGGAGAAGTAGAGGAATCAATACTTATACAGAAGAACCTGTCAAGAAAGAAAGATTGAAGAATCAGAAAGTAAGTTGAAGGAAGGTGTGGTTTTATTTTCCACAGTAAACCTTTGTGCCAGACGCTAACAAACGCTTTCTCGATATCCAGGAATATTGCTGAGTAGAATTCATTTTTTTTCGAAGGCGACTGAGATAGCGTCTTAATTTAAATTTAAATTTGAAATTTAACCAAAGAGGCGTCTCTTTAGGTGATTGCTTTCTCATGAAATTTGTATAAAAATATCATTAAAAAATTTATTCATTTTTCTATTACATTATCGTACTAATTTATGCTGATATTGTAAGTATATCGTGAAGATCTGATAGAATACCGTAAAAATAAATAGAAAATCTGAAAAAAAAATGAACTTTTCCTAAAATTTTAGAAACATTATGCAAAGTAGATATATATATACTTTCCATATTCATTGGTATG